ATTTTTTTTGCCTAAAAAAAAAAATTTATTTAAGAAATCTTGCCACGGAGCCTCATGGGAGTTGCAGTTCATGCTTCTATTTTTCTCCATAGGCCAGACTCCCTGGTTACAGTACATCTCCCATGATGCACCACAGTCTCTCTCCTTGGTGACAGGGAGGCAGCTACATTGTGGGAGTCTCTGACTGTGGAGTCTCACAGGAGTTGTAGTCCAGCAGGAGAACTTGGCCCATAGAGGAGATGGGGACATGAAGACCAAACTAAAACTCCCATGAGGCACTGCAGCAAGGTATCCAGATAAAAATATTTTGGTTTTCATGTATTTGGTTTTTTTGAAAAAATATGTTTAGTTGAAAACTCTATTTTCTGTTGAAAAACAGTTTAGATGGAAAATTTTTGCCCAGGCTTATTTACAATGTTTTCATCATAAGCCTATCTGAAGATAAAGCAAAGGGGAAAAAGGAATACACATGCTGTAATACTGTCAATTGTTCCATACTATTAATTGTAATTTATTATGTTTGCATGATGAATAAAACAGGGTTGGGGGAGAAGTAATTTTTTTGTCATAAGTGTAAAGCCTCCTATGTATTTCTAGTGAATCAGTTGACACAACACTGCTAAAAATTCCTGTTCCTTGAAGCATGATTACTTATTAAAATCTAATTAGTCGTTGTGTTTAAGTCAGTGAAGGAGACACTGCCAAGAACTTTGCTGAGCACAGAGTCATAATTGGCACCCCAGAATCAATTAGAGGATAATTTTCCAGCTGCTCTCCCTTGGCATTCCTAAGTAAGTACATATAATTAATATAATTCATTAATATCTAATGGCAGAAAATAGGCTCAGGGAAAATGAGAAACACTGATGTTATATGTTTCAGGTAGCAAAGATAGTATCACCGCAGATATTTAGTCATGTATTATATCTTTAGACAGTGCCTAGCACAATGGAGCCCAGATAAGTTTGAGGCCTCTAAGTGCTATAATATAATATATAATATAAATCTTAAACAATAACAACATCAGCAGCACCTTGATCACATATGTCTACCATGGTAAACTGAAGAGTTTGAAATTCAGTTCTTGGCTGGCATCTCCATACTCTCTTAGATTTATCAGACTACCTTTATAGAAATGATACCAGATTAATCAATTTAAAGAAAAAATGGAAAGTTATCTACACCTTACTAATACATTAGTGAATCTGAACAAACGTAGGACTCCGGCAGGCTTTGTTAGCTGCCTGGACAGGACCCATCTCCTTATATTCACTATCGCTTTCACATTTGTAGCGTCTGCAGCCAGGGTATGTGAGGCACCCACAGCAATACGACTGCAAAAGTCATGAGATTTCTGGTGCAGTCCTAAGGGGTAGAGAAATCTTCCAAAAGCCTGAGCTCCAAGCCAAACCCCTGAGTTTAGGCAGGAATGGCCGTGTGGTTTAGAACAGGGTTTTTAGCCTTACATTTTTCTTCTAAAACCAGGAAATAATATGAAGTGTTGACTCTTGTTGATGATCACTGTGGGTTCTTTGGGTCTAATTCCACAAGGTGCTAAGTATCCTCAACTTCCATTGATTGGGGCACAATCCCGCAAACTCTCACTTGTGTGAGCAGTCCCATGGGTAAGGATTTGCAGTAGTAGACTCTTAAATGAGAGCAGGGGGCATTTGGCACCTTGTGAGATCAAAGCCCACCTTGGTATGTACTTTCAAGAGTTTACTCATTAGCCACATGCATTATGCAACTAACATGAAAGAACTGAAAAATATATTTTAAAATGTTAAGCTAGTTGGGGGCTCAAAACTATATGCTGGGGAAGGAATCCTTATATTGTACCTTGGGATCATATTTACAATAGCTAATTTTAGATCCATTTTTAAAAATAATAAATATCAATTTCAAAGCTGACAAATTGCAACAATACATTATATTAACACGACTTTATGTAGATAGTCTAAGAAAAGCAAAAATCAAACCCCATATATATACAATAATTCCTAGGTACTGGCTTCAAAACATAAAGACTAACATTTACAAAGGGCTGTGTGAATAACTGAATATTCAGGTCAAGTACAGGTCCAAAAAGCTGAAAAAAAAAATTAGTTTTGCGTCACCTAAAATGAAATATCTCAAACTTGTCAACCCCAATCACTTCAGTCAAATGTTTCATTTCAGTTTGTTTCTTTTTAAGTAAAAAAATCGAGGAAAATTTTCTGAAATGGGATGTTTTTCCAAAACAAAAAGTTGAAACATTTTATTTTGACAATGCCCAAACATACCATTTATACCCTTTTCCCCCCTTTTCTTCTGAGTGAAACAATTTGTGCAAATCTACCTGAAGCTGTGAATTGTTTCAGTCAACTCAAATCTGCATTTTTCGGCAAAAGAAGGTTTTGCACAAAAAATCCTGCCCAGCTCTATTACTATGTGACTAAGTCTTTGCAGGATCAGGCCTACAGGAAAAGGCCCACTAGCTGAGCCACACAGATGAAGAGCAGGCTCCAGAGGTAACACTCCTTTGTGCTAGGCAGGATGTGGAGGGCCCTGCTAAGAGGCAACTCCCTAGCTGCAGAAAGTTGTGTTCAGCTATCATAGTTTTTTTATATATATATTTATAATATGGAGATATACCTATCTCATAGAACTAGAAAGGACCTTGAAAAGTCATCAAGTCCAGTCCCCTGCCTTCACAGCAGGACCAAGTACCGTCCCTTATTTTTGCCCCAGATCCCTAAATGGAGCCCTTGAGGATTGAACTCCCCCTGGGTTTAGGAGGCCAATGCTCAAACCACTGAGCTATCCCTATCCCCCTAAAGGGGAGAGGTCAGCTCCCCTGCTGTCAGCAACAAATTACACAGGGGAGCCTAGATGCTCCTTTTCGGAGCTGCAAAAAGGAGCCTTGCTGAACATGTTCACCTTGGCCTCCAATGGTGTATAGAGAGGATGGTGATCAATTATTCTGCAACTCCACTGAAGGTAGAGCAAGAATTAATGGGCTTAATCTGCAGCAAGAGAGATTTAGGTTAGATATTAGGAAAAAACTTTCTAACTATAAGAGTAATTCAACTCTGGAATAGGCTTCCCGGGGAGGTTGTGGTTGTACCTCAGCATTAAAGGTATGAAAAACAGGTTGGACAAACATCTGTCAGGGACAGTCTAGGTTTATTTGATTCTGCCATAGCACAGGGGCTGGATTTGATAACTTCTTGGGGTCCCTCCCCACCCTACATTTCTAGGATTATATGACTCTGGGTGCAGGCAGGATGGCTCAGGGGCTGTTTACTCAGCAACTATTGCTCTGCTTCCCCACCAATGTATTTCAGACTTATCAGGGCAGAATTTTTCCTTTATACTGAAGCTAGGCAATGGTAACCCAGTACATCTGGGACACAGTGGCTGGAGGCAGCAGGTTGACTAAGAGCTCTGAATGTTTCCAATTTGTTCTTGAACACTGGCATGTTGCTTGTCATGTTTTTCTTGGGCACGTATGCCAGGAAGTATATTTAAGGTCTCTTCACCTCAGGAATGTGTCACTCTAGATGCTGGAAACACCTTGCTGTTTTCGGGGGAGGGGGGGAGGGAAGGGGAAGAGGAAGGGGAAGAAAGAATGCTTTTATGAGCTCTAATTAATTTAAAGAATTTTTTCTGTTTTAAATTTAAATCCTGTTCTAAGCCACATTGCTCAGTGTCTCAAACCTTCTGCATGTTCCTTTTAAATGTGTTGTCTCATTGGTACTGCCAGACCTTCCTAATCTCCTCCTCCCTAGTGTCTTTTTCTATCTTTACTGAAAGAAATAAAATAAAATAAGAAATCTTCCACTCCACATCAACATTGCTGACATTTTAGTCAAAGAATTCCTCTGCCCTCTCCCCACTCCAGTTGTTAATGTGGTTGTATCATGAGGCATATGCGCATGCTGTCACTCATTGACCTCACCTTTATTCACTGTTTATAGCAGCCATAAACAAGGATGGAGACATTTTACCTGTCAGTATCCCACAGTGTCTCTTCAAATAGCCCCTTCAGTCAAGAGCTTGCAGACCAGCAGGTGCTCCTAGAAGTTCAGGAATGATGTCAGAGCATCAATCAGCTTTTACAAGGCGGAGAGGAAAGGAAAGGTATTTGTGAGGAGAATCAACAGTGAAAACGCTATTTTCACAAGCTCAGAAGTAAACTGTAAGCAATCAGCTTTGTCACAAGAACAAAGATCCCCTGTAGTTACAGGTGCTTGAAGCTGAAACTGGTTCAGTCAGTTTCATGTAGTACATTTTCCATTCAGAGTTATCTTAGTCAGTCTCTCATTTGTCCTATCAGAAACATTTTCCGTCAATATTTTATTCCTTCTCTCACCGCTTTGGTTTAAAATGCATCTGAATTGGTTTCACATGGAGGTAGTGCAGGGTTTTTGGTTATCTACAGATGGCACATCAGTAAACACTTTAAATCTGCTTAACCACTAATAGATGTCAGCATCTCAAGGGAGCTTGAAAATTTCCTCATGTTCCTTATTTAGTCATATTAAACCACAAAAGTTGGAAAGGGAAATGAAAGATGGGGAATTAAAAATCAGAGAAATCTCAAGCCCAGATTCTGCAGCAAATGTGATGTCAGCCAGATCATCACTATACAGCACAGTGAATTAAAGGGGACGTTCCACCCTTAACTCCGCAAGTCTTTCCGCGGGTGGATTTAAGTCAGACCTTAACATCTGAACTTCATTGTTTTTAGTTTAACATACCCATTTTTGCCATCATGCAAATAGTGTGGGGGTGGAGCTGGGGCTGGAGAAACATAGGGTTGATATGGCGTAGGGTTGCAGGCACCAGGGGGTTTTGTATAGAAATATCCATGGATTTTTCTGAAATGAAGCCGGAGAGTTACACACAAAAGAAATGACTTATTACGACTTATTTCTTACACTTTTAAAATTCCAAAAGGTTCCAAGGTTCCCACCCCCATCAAAAATTTCAGCCTATGATTTTTATTTATACTACAGAACTGCCTAGAGGCCTCAACAGAGATTGGAGTAGCATTGTGCAAGACTCTCTACAGAACAACCCCCCAGTCCCTCTGAGGACGAACAGAGATGATTTGGCTAACAGCATCTGTCTCCAGGGGTGAGTCCTCCTGCCTAGATAGTTTCAATTAGAAATAACTACTTTATATAGGGGCAGATTCTGATACCCTTACTCGCACTGAATAGCACCTTACTCCACAAGTAGCCTTCCACTCCCAAAGTAGCAGGCATTTTATTATGTCCAGTGCAGTGTTAAATGACCTCATGTCATATACCCAATATCAAGGGTTGGTCTCCTACATCCTAATGCCTAGGATTCAGGCCACCGCTAAATCCTCTCACCCTCACCCCAGGAAGGGAACTAAAAGAACATGAATGGTACCTTCTTCCTACAGGCTAGAGCAGGGGTTCTCCGAACAAATTATATGGTGGCCTCAGAGTGTGTAACTTGCTGGTGGCCACTCTCACACTTTTTCCTAAAATACTTAATTAGCTATAGGAAAAACAAATAAATCTGCACATATAGACATCCAAATCATTGTAGTTTATTTATTACTAGCTAGTAAGTCTGTGAAAAGTGATATTAACCAACATACAAGTGTCCCTTTTCACATCAGACTTACTCAGCCCCAGGAAGTCTGGGGACAAATTAAACCCTAGATGGCGGATCAGGGGAGGAAGCAGGGGCGGAGGGCAGGGGGCGAGGATTGGCCGGGGGAGGCAGCGAGGGGCTGGAGCCTGAAGCCTCGTGGCCAGAACCTACCTTCCCCACCACCCCTGGGCTGAAGCCCAAATCCTGAGCCCCACTGCCCCTAGGAAGGTGGGGAACAAATCAGTTGCCCAACCCTTGCTGGAAGCCCCAGCAACCAACACCAAGGCTGTGAATCCAGGAGCACTGGGGGTGTGGGGGGAGGGAAGGGGCCACTTCTTTCCTCACCCCTGCAATCACAGCCAAGGAGACTATGGCTGCAAGAAAAGCCCCTGGTGGCCACATGTGGCCACGATGACCACATTTGATAAACGCTGGGCTAAAGTCCACCAGCCATTTCCTGAGTTCTTACTCATCTTTGCCTCTGGAAGATGAGCCTCTCATCTGCACTGATACCAGCCATGGAGGCACCGGAAAATAGCTTGGCTGCACCCTTGCTCCATTGCCTGATATCTGTTTCTCATCAGTGCAGTCTCTGAATTCTCCCCACGACATACTGACCCTTTGTTTAATAAACAAATAATTTTCTCCACAAAGTTCAAGGCTATTGTAACAGGGTGGCTTGCCCTGGGGCTAGAGAGCGTGAGTCTAAGCCAGCTTTTATGACAAGATGAGTCCCATTTGAGGGGAACCAGGGAGTTAAAAGGTAAAAACCAGCAGGAAGCTGCAGGGGCGTATGGTCGAGAGAAGCTCAGGAATCAGGAGATACTAAGAGTAGAAGGAAGCAGGTCCAGAGGGCTAAGCTCCAGCCAGAAAGGGCTGGGGACTGGTGAGAATGAGCTCGGATGTGGCTGAAGAACTGGAGCTACGTTTGAAGAGGGAGAGCTACAGGAGGTGGGGGCTAGGCTCAGGCATATCCATGCACACAAGGAATTCCTTGAAAATATGCATATGGAGACCTCCAAGGTTGCAGAAAGAATCCAGCCAGAGAGGACTGCAGTAGTACCAGGAGAGGAGGAAGAAATGGTGCTTTACAGGGAGGAAGCTGGCTGCTGCTTACTTGCTGCACCACACCTGCTCCCAACCCACTGTCCACAGATATAAAAAAACCTTGTATGCCGCCCTGGCAACAAGCTTTGCTGCTGTCGCTCTCTGCCTATGATGCCCACACTCAGCAGCAAGCATGTCATCTATGGTTCTTTACTGGGGAGCCTTAGTCCAATGCTTTGGATCCAGGAGCCTGCCTACAAGACCACCGACATCCACTGGTCTCCACCAGCCTTGGTTAACAACTGGTAATGTGATGCCACATTCACCTCAGCCCCGAATTTCTCCAAAAGCATGTGTTCCAAAATGTGCAGTCCTGTCCTGGAACAATGAGAGGAATGTCATTGCTCCTTTTGGATTATTTTGTGATTAAGGACTCTGAGGACTGTGTGAACTTTACTTGATATTAAACCAGCCCCTGAAAGAGGTGCTGTGAGCCACAAAGAGACGGTCTGGAGTGTTTCAGGGGCCTGCAAGAGGGAGCTAACTGGGGTCGGGTGCCTGTAAAGTGACCTCTGGTCGTGAAGGGGTGCTCAATAAATGGCCCCACTGCTGCAGACCTGATTTCCATGTGTGTGATCACTACCTGCCACAAAATTCTGGAGATCTCCTGGTTAACGTTCCTGCAGGCCCAATCCACATGAGCAGGCTTGAGAGCTCTTTGTCATACCCACCTTGCAAGCATTTCAGGCCAAATCACTTTTGTTCCTGGCCCCAATTGAGCCATCCAAAGCACATCCACTAAATTCTGACTCGCAAACTCACTCCAGTGCAAATCCCAAGATCATGCTCCCCTAAATGAATAATCAAGACATTAGAAAGATATGATTCTCCCATCAGGCAGTGCAAGAGAGGCATGGGCTGGTACCACAACACACCCTTCATGCCATATCATCAGTGACAGACTGTTTCTGTACTGCAGCCCAGCTGCCTGCCAATTTACTGCCTGCTTGTGAGATAAGTGCCCACAAATCGAGACATCTGCATTGTTGCTAAGGCCTTCAATCACTCATCTACTTCACGACGAAGGATGCATCTAAACCCCAGAGCTTCTGAAATTAATGTATTTTTGAAAAATTCCCTTGTGACGGAAATAAGGAACGTGCAAAGAGTACCTGATCAAGTTTCTGACCACGTTAATTTGCAGATTCATACAATACAGCTTGAAACTATGAACTTTCTAATGAAGACAAGGTGCAATCAACTAAACATTTAAAATTTTGGACATTCTCATTGTAAGTGTAAATGATCACACAATTACATTTCCGAATAAAAGACCCTGCAGTGGAAAAACTGCCTGAATTACCAGGTCATATTATTGCAGAGGAAATAATGAAAATAATTTACAGCTCACAATAGCACAACAGACAATCAAAATGTAAATTAGTGTCTGACTCAGTATTGAAAATATAATTATTAAAATTAGCCTTGGGTAATGGAGTGCAATACACAAAGAAGTCAGCTCTAAACAGAAATTAAATAATACTACGCTAATTTATAAAAACAGCGATCAGAAAAGATAAAATTGATGACTAAAGTGTACTTAGAATTCACAAACCTTTTCATGATGAAATTCCTCTTATTGGCTAACCTGGATGGATGGAAAGAAAATTTTAATTTAATCAGAACTTTTTCTTATGAAAAGCACTTTCTGAAAATTTAAACAAATTTGCACCTTAGTATACCAAGTCAGTCTGCTGCACCGTTATAGGTTGCTACCACTGTACTCTGAACATAGAAGCCATCAATCTTCTTGCTTCAGCACAAAAACTGATCCCAAGCAACATTTTTGACAATGCAGGAGACTATTACACAACTGGCAAGGAAGAGTATTGTTTTGTTTTCCAGTGAAACTTCTGCTATAGGTCACTGTCAAAGACATGATGCTTTACTGGGCCATTTTTTATTTCAGTAGCGCAAGGTCTATGTTTCTGTAGTATTAAAACATAATTTTATTATTCTGAATGAATATATGAATGAACAGCTTGATGTAAAGTCCATACATCATTAGGCTTCATCTTGATTTATAGATCCCATTTCAGAAAGATGCTTAAGCAGCATGCCTGAATGTAAGCATGTGAATAGCACTATTGAAGTCAATTGCTCTGCTGAATCAAGTCCTGACTAGAATCTTATCTTTCAACTGTGATATGAACAACATAATCACTTGACCTTTCTTAAGATAAAGCTGCTGCCAGATTCAGACAAACTCCTAAATCTGATATTCTCCATGTTTGGAATTCCCTTGACATGATGGAGAACATGATGGAGTTAAGTTTTGATATAAAAGAATTATGTACTCTCTGTTATATTTGTTTCTTCTTCCACTAGTGCAAGGATATTCTGACTAAGATGTTGTCAGGGAATTCCAAAGATTAAAGCTCTGTTACAAATAATCAATAATCCTGTTTTATTATTGACTTTCTACTGAATTGATAATTCACAATTACCTATAACAATTCTACAATTTTATTTCATAGTAGTTTAAATTCTTGCCCAGTTGTCCCTCACACATGGTCCCCTGCCAGTTATGGAATGTGTTGATTTAGACTTGACATACCTTTTGAAAAGATAACACAGTGTCAGAGGGTAGCTGGCCCTCTGAAGGGGTGAGGGGCTCAACCTACCTCTGCCAAATTCCACAAGAGGGAATGACTGAGGCAACTCACGTTCACCTGGGACTAATTAACTTACTGAGTAACTGGAGGCTGTTAAGTACTCAGGGAAGCACTTGAGCATGATAAAAAGAAGCTATTCCCAAAGGGGGGGCAGAGAACAGAGGCTCCTGGGTAGAAGAACAGTTCCCAGAACTCAGAAAGTGAGAGATCCTAAGGGGAGGGCTTCTCAGGGAGCACCTAGTGGGTGGGTTTACCAGGAAAGGAAACTAAGGAAGAATGTTCCCAGGTGGGAAAAGCTCTGAAAGGGAGGAGCTATGAATACCAAATCTCACTGAAACCTTGTCCATAAGCCCCAGATCAGAGGAATTATATACTGCTCCAAGGAAGGGTTGCTGTGGTTTCCTCTGTGGGGACCTTGACCCAATGGGAGAGACTCTCCCCTAGCGGATGACATGAGGCCCAGGCTCCTGAAGGGGCTTTCAGACCAAGGGTAAGGGACCTAGACGTAAGTGGGCTTGATGGACTAAGGTTAACTCAGCTCCCTCCACATCCCTCTGCAGCTATTTGTATAATGTTCCACATTTGGGTTAATAAAGGAGGCCTCTGAAGGGGCACTGTTCAATGTATAGAAGCCTTATTGGACTTGAAGCCCACTAGTGGAAATTGAGCCAGAGACATAACTGTGATGCTCCACTGGGCCACTAGGTTGCACTCAAGGTGTGAGGGCCCCCACTACATGCAGCCATCTTTGCAATTATTTTAGAAGAATACTTGCCAGCGGGT